TTTATTCTTCTTCAAGATATTCATAGATATCTTATTCAACAAATTCAGGATGAATTTGTTTTTTTCTTTTGGTCTTTATTTAAATGTTACCTTTTTAGCAAAGCCATCCTGGATATCTTATTTGAAATTTTCAGCTCTTCCCTTCTTGCCTCCTTTTTAATGCTTTTGCTCCATATACGAATATCTTTTTAACATGTTTTTTAATTATAAAATCTTGGTCCATCCTAATATTTCTCCTTCTAATGATATCCATATTGTAGTAAACTGAAATAGTTGTGCTCCTTAACTGTCTTGTTTTCTGGGCTTGAGAGTTCATTTTCCTCTGGGAGTACCAATTAGGAAATGCAAAGAGAGGAATGCCAGAAGACTCTTGTCCAGGTCAGCCCCAAAGACTCCAGTGCGTGTGTTTTTCAGTGCACTTGTGTGTGTCATCTGGGGTGAAAAGACCAGGCACCAGAAAACTATAGCCTACCAAACAATTCCCTAGGTCAGATCTTTGCACCCCAAGTAGAAGCGGCTATAAGCTGAGATATGCATAGGTTATAGCTCATCAGCCTTGAATGTTTGGAATGATAAGGGTGAGAACCTCCTTTTCTGAGATTAGTTAGTTTTCACCTGTTTCTCTAAGCATCTCACAAGTACAGGACTTTTGTCATGTTCTGATTTGACCTCTGAGAACAGCCGAAGCAGAAGGCTGAGTTACAAAGGTATCAGAGCACTGTAGCAATGCATCATAAACTGGAATGTATGATAACTAAATTCTACGAGCTGAGGTTTAGAATAAAGTAAGAAGTTGGGAATAGGATTGATAGCTTGGGTTTCAGAGGCAGTAGCAGTATTCCCAGAACTTCTGCTCCCAGATTGCTGCCTCAGGCTCTATACTTAATGGAATGGAGGTTTTCTAGGATTCAACTCTTCACAAAGTATTATTTTTTTATAGTGCTAATAGTGGCTGCAGTGACTGCAGACAGGGGGGCAGACAGCCTGGTGGGTAGATCGTGCCGCAGTCCGTTTCTCCCAGTAATTCTATTCCACTAACCTGCTGTATCCATCTGATTTAAGAACTGAAAAAACCCTTCACTTGTGGGTCTTAGGCTAGAGATTCATGCCAGGGACAGTGCGAGCTGCTGAATGTGAAAAATTGAATAGGACAGATCTCTAATCTACTGGGGCAGACAGAAACATAAATAGACAATCAAAATAATATGGGATAGGCAATTGTAGATGTCGGCTGGAATTCAAAAAAACAATGTTTGATATTAAAAATTCAAGCTTTCTTTATCAATCCTTGAATGATACAGAGTGACTCAATAATACCCACATTGATGAACCTAAAAGGTGCCCATAGATGAAGGGACAGAAAAAACCCTACCCTTTGGTTACCTTTTTGATTGTGCAAAACCAAATGTTTCCAAAATTTCTAAGAAAAAGCCTTACACATGAGCAGGATACAGATACATGAGTATTCACTAAAATAAATGGCGCCCTAGGCGAAGAGGCAAGCTCATTGCAGTCTCAGCTGTGTGACGTGCAAATCACTTTCCCTGATGATCTTTTACTTGAAGGTATGCAAGTTAATTTTTAAAAAAAACAGTGCTGTGTACTAAAGTGGCAAGACTAAAGTATTAGCATGGATATTGGGGTAGACATTCTACATTTTTTTGCATGCCAGTTAAATTATTTTTATAGTTAATGACATTTTAAATCCAGAATTGAATTTTCTTCAAGTTTTGTTGACAGTGTCAATGCTGGACTGGTGCTACTTTCCTCCCCTTTTGGCTTTGATTCATGCCAATGTCTGAAGAGACAATCAGGAACTTCATCTGCAAGCTGTGGCTCATTTATATTTGTAAGCACTTACCTCCTGCTTGGAAATGGGAAAAAAAGTTTATGTCACTATCTTTGGGAGATAGGGAAAATTAGTGTTGAAGGAAGCTGGCATGTTCAAGACTTGGAAAGACTATATAGTCTTCCAGAAGGAAAAGCCAAGCCCTTGCTTGTAAGATGGTGGCTTGATAGCACTGAAAGAAATAAAGCACTTTATTATTAAAATCTCTATCAAAGAGTTCTGTTTATTTTAAATACTATACTATCCTGCTCCCTTCTCTCAGAGCCATAAGCTCACACACCCAACTCTGATATGTCAGCATGGATCTACCTGCTCATCTTCCCTCAGATACTCTCTGCACCATCACTGAGAGGAATAAATTTGTGAAGAGCTCCAGCATCTTTGAAGAATCTGTGGTCACTCTTCTTTGTAGTTCAGCAATTACAGTGGAAATTGCTGCTGCTGAATTGGATGGTTAAATGCATTGGGGATAATTGAGTCCTAGAGTGGCAGGGTCCATGTGGTGGCACTTAACTGCCACAGACAAGGTGGGCATGGCTATTATAATGGACAACAGAGTTAAAGCATGGATTAGAACAGTCTTGACTTGCGCAGAGCTGTGGTGCCAGCTATTGATCATGGCGTTCCCTAACAGTGAACTAGATTGGCAATCGACTAAATCTGTACTTAATCTGCTTAAATGGGAGACTTCTACCTGAAGTGAGTACAGCTGTAACTGGAATCACCAAAACAGAGAGCCATGACTACTCCATCATTTCTTAGACTGGAGCCACTTTACAGGCCCAGAACCCCATGAATGAAGAGGAGGCCATATCTCCTTGAGGAAGGACCCTGCTACACTGCCAAAATTCACTTTTAACCTTCTTCCAGCCTCAGTAAGGGACCTACGGTCTTTTACCAGGGCTATTGTGCATTGAAAAAACCACACTTTTGGGGGGTTATTGGACACTGACTCTGAGCTGATGTTAATTCCAGGAGACCAAAAGCGCCACTTTGATCTACCAGTCAGTTGAAACTTAAAGAGGTTGGGTGATTAGTGATATTAGCCCACAGTGGGTTCAATGGGTTCTTGAATTGCCATAGTCTGAATGTTTGTGTTCCCCCAAATTCATATGTAAAAGCTTAATGCCCAATTGGATGATATTAGAGTTGGAGCCTTTGGGAAATGCTTAGTTCATGAGGGTTCATGAGAAAGAGAGCAATATAAATATAGTGGGCTTGGCGAGTGAAGGATAGAGAGAGAAAAAGAGAGAGAGAGATTGACTTACCATAAGAAATAAGGTCACATAATTTTAGAGGCTAAGAAGTCCAATTTTGTAAATTGGAGACCTAAGAAAGCTTATGTTTTTGTTCTAGTCTTGCCCAAAAGCCATAGAACCAGGAGAACCAATGGTTCCAGTCTGAGTCTGAGGCCAAAGGCAGCAGGAGACTAATGTTGTAGCCTGAAAACAGCCAGGCAGGGAGCAAGAATTCTTTCTTACTCAGCCTTTTATTTGATTAAAGCCTTCAAAGGATTAAATGAGTCCACCCACAATGGGGAGGTCAATTTTCCTTAGTCTAGTGGCTCAAATGTTAATCTCATCTAGAAATACCCTACAGAAACACCCAAAAATAATGTTTAACCAAAAGTCTGGACACTCCATGATCCAGTCAAGTTGACACATAAATTAACCATCGCAAATCTACTCCTTGTCAACTTGACATCCATTGGCATCTCTTTAACCATACTCAATTTCCAAATAAAGTAGCAAATTCCACCTAACATGCTATAACTCTCCTCAGAACTGGAAATCCGCTGACTCCTTCCCCAGAAAGGGAGGTGAAGTCCTTGAGTGGTGTTCATTCTTCTCCTCAACATCCTATAATTTAAATACTATGGTATACAATTAAAAATACTTAAAATTTAAGTATATAAGGTCAATACATCTTATGCTACAATATAATATTGCTTATTGATATTAAGGACAGTGTAGATCGGGGGTGGGGTGAATGGCACTCAAACACTGATTGACCCGTTAAATTCCACTCAACTGATTAAAGCACTGGAAGAAAATATTTTTAGTTGTTTATTTTTAGTATACATTCTCCTAGAAGCTATTTATTGTCCCTAACAAGGGTGTGTAAAATGTGAAAAATTGGCAAGATGAAAAAACAAGTAAGGTAAAGTGGAGCTGGGAGTAAGTTCAAATGAAAATTTGATACAACATAGGGGCAGGGTGTGTGTGTATAAATTGGTCCCTAAGCTTCCTAGGCAAAAACTGGCCCATGGTTTCCATTCTTGGCACTGGATTAGATCTGAGTTTCTTCTGAATAAAAATGGGTTAAGATAAGTTAAAGTAGTTATTTTATGGGTTAACTAATTTGATTAAACCTTTTACTTTTTAACCAACTTTTCTGATGTTCTAGGATAGTGGGGAAAGGCTAGATTCTGGGACCAAATTTACTTGGTTTAAAATTTTTACTCTTTTTTTTTGGTTAGTTGTGTGATCTAGGGCCAGTTACTTAACCTTTCTGGGTTTTATTCTTCTCATTTGTAATATAGGTGTTGTAATACCTGTCTCATAGGTGCATCTGAAGATGAAATGTATATAAAGGTCCTTGTACTATACTTAATCCCCCTTTCCTTTCCTTCCCTTCGGAAAATGTAGTATTTAGTTAGAATGCAAATGAATTTATTTTTGGTAAAAACCTATAAGCAGGGCACAAATTGCAGAATTGTTGGTATAGGTAATATTAATACCAGCTGACTTCTGTTGAATACATGCTTACAATAAAATGACCACTCGTTTAAAAATACACACATTCAAACGAAAACATACACTTGCCAGCCTACCATACCTATTGTGAAGCTCAGTCTCACATATTTGATTGTCTAACATTCTAGCTGACATTCCCATTTTCTGAAGATTGAGTCTTTATTGTTTTATTTTTAATTTTTGCTACTGTTTCATAATCATCACAAATGAATACAGGGAATTCCCTGTACAAAACAGTACAATAAAGTTCAAGATCAAGGTGTTCCTTTAGGCAAGGTTAAAGATTTCAGTCTCTGGTCTTTGGCATTTAGTCTACACTCCTTATTTTTGGATGGGCCGCTGGGTGCGTGGTCCAGTCCATGCTTTTAGCCATATTTGAACAGAAGAATAACCACTTAGTCCAGATAGAAGCAGATGAAGTATTTGGTTTCATGTGTCATGTAACTACTGAAGTTCCTCATCATGATGCAGTGCCAGGTGGGGTTGTATTTCTTGCCAAACTTATTCTTAATATGGGCCACAATATCTTTCTCTGTGTTGTATTTCTCCAACGTCTGAGTAGCACATTCCACAGGGTGCTGTCGCATCTCCTCCGACATATAAGCACTTTTGGTCAAGACATTTCGGCTGCACATGGTTACAGCAGAGCCTGGGCTGGCAAACTGCAAGGGTCTCCTGGGGGAGGGGCTGGTGAGGCCCAGAACCAGCGGGAGAGGCAGTTGCTATGGCATATCTCTTAAGTGTGAGTCTTTAGATATATATGTCTTAGATATTGTAGTCTCAAGAAAGTAACTCCGTGTAGCATTGCAATTTGGTACAGATCATTCTCTTTCTGTAGTGCCATTGTGACCAGTAACCCAAGACCTCAGAGAGTTCTTTAACTATTATGAAAGAATTTTCCCATGGTGTTAAAAACTACTAGGTCATTCATTTAAGAACTGTTGTCTGCTTGCAAAACCTGAGTTTTAAATATACTGCATCTACTCACACACATCTTTTTACCTCCCTTCACATTTTCATCCAGGTGATACAGCGTTCCAATTAGCACCTTTGAGACATCTGGGGGACAAGGAGTCACAAAGGCTCACATAGGGTTTGGACATACACCCTTGAGAATGGTGGTAGTGGAACTCAGTTATCACATTTTATGAATAAAATATCTTTTTATGATTTTCCTTGTTTATTTTTAGAAAAAGGGGAAGGGAGGGAGAATGAGAGAAAAAACACCAATGTGAGAGAGAAACATCTTTTGGCTCTTGAGCCCCCAACCGGGGGCCCAGCCACAACCCTGACGTGTGCCCTGACCAGGAATTGAACCAGCGACATTTCAGTTTGCAGGATGGTGCTGAACCCACAGAGCTATACTAGTTAGGGCTATGGATAAAATCTTTAGCTCTTTTCCAGTCCAAGGTGGTAGGATGAGATCTTTCTGCCCTTATGACTACCTTTCTGAGAACTCCCCTTGCTCTTGGGGGTAGTTGGTCTAATTTGCTATACCCAAGTCAAAGGTGGTGCTAAGAAAGGGGGGACAACTACCCCCCAAATCGCTGTTATAGGATGTACCTGTGGTGGTCAACCTATAGTTTCTTGGTCTCTAACAATGACAGAATATCTTAAATGAAGCCTGCTTTGATTATCTGCAATATTTGGGCTTGTGTTTTGGCCTGTTTTCTTGTGCGTTACAAAATGCTGTGACATTGATGTATTGCCTCAAAAGGTAAAAAAAGAATATCAGATTTGGAACTAAAAGTATCAGTTTGAAAACATTACAGTTATAAAACATTACCATTATAAAACCCAGCAAAAGTGTAAACTACAAAAGAAGTGATTCAAAAAAAATCTTTTAATAAAAGTTTAAAGTGTTCAAAATATATTTGCCCCTGGAGCAAACTTTTTTCATTTAATATTGTGTCTGTTAATTAGTGCTTCAAATTTGCAAATTCTTTATTGGTTTATATCAATGTAATACCCAAAGCTCATCTCATTGCCAGATTTGAATGAAATATGATCCTGTTTATTCTATTAAAATGAAGGCTGGAAATTGTTACCCAAATGCCACAGGAATTCTTGCCATTTTCTCATCAAATTCCTCATCAGATTTTTTTGTTAAAGTCACATTGTTTTAGATTTTGTGCCTTGGCATTTAAATGAAATTCAATGTGCCCCACGGAGGAAACATCTGTAGGGACATATTATGTACAATATCCATTCCAATCAAGCAGGAGTGTACTGAGTGCCTGAATGAGGAGCTTATTCTTGCTTCACTTCCCTCTGATGTGGCTATTGAGAAGATCTATAAGAGAGGGAGCATTTATAAAAATTAAACCGGCAGTGGTGCACAATATTTTAAATGCTCAAATCAAATACTTTTTTTAAGTGCACAATATCAGTGAATGGATTCCTGCCTCTTTCTTTCTTCTGATGTAACAGACTTTATACATAGCATCTGATCCAGACTTTGGATGGCTTAGCAGTTAGGTGATGATGATTTTCAAAGGTATATATATGCTGCGGGAAGTTATTGTTTTCTTGATTTTAACTACCCACTATGTCCCTCAATCGTAATCCTTAGTTCACATCCTCTACACAACTTTTTATGTTTGCAACCCACACAAAATGCTACATCTAGTGCTGTGTCAAATGGTCAAGAAATGGGAACTGTCCTGCCCTATCTGTAAATCAGTGGCAATTTTCTAAAGTGGAAAATGACCAGGGCATGATGACTAGGATTCATATGAAATGGGAACAATCGTGACTCCATAGGACTTTAAGATATGTGGGGATCAGATCAATTATTTGGGCAGAGCCCATACACATAGCACATACTAAATGCCTAGTAAATATTATCTATTGTTGCTTTTGTCAGGGCATTTTGTCTGCCTCAGAATGGGGCACTCATATAGCAGAAATAACTTGCATGGCGCAGTGAATACTGGGAAGCAGAAAGAGTACTGAGAGATGGTCACTAAACCAGTTCAGTTGTTGCTAAGGTTCATGGTTATTGTCCACATCAAGTACAAAGAGAACCAATTGATGTTTAAACCACTGAGCAACATGCCAGAGTACAAAGAGAGCCATGTAGTTTCAATCTCTGCAACACTCTGCTCGGTATGTTATACATAGAAGAGATATTTCTTTTCCAGGTACTTCAGTGTACAATTAAGTAACTGAAACACTGAATAGTAAACAACATGAACCATTCAGCATTATCCTGTCAAAATGCACTAGGATTCTTGTTGGAAGACACAGCTGCTTTTAAAAGAAATAACTCAATATCCCAAGATATACCAAAGTGAGTCATTCCCTTATCTTTTCACTGCTTGGGTACCTGCTTCCCGTGGCTGTAATTATGGCCTGCATTGTGCCATGGACATGGAACTCTGTCTTTACAGGTAAGCAGCAGATTGGGTGACACATTATAAAATATATATTATAATTCTCATTTCTTTCTTGCCTTTCAATTTTTTTTTTAATCCAAGGGCTGGCTTTGTAGGGATGAATTTTGTTCACTCAACTCAAAAAACTGTTGTGTGGTAAAGTTTGAAAAATCCTGGATTATATAAAATTATATAGTTCCTAATTCCAGGACCTTCTGGAGTCCGTACTATATTAATGAACATTTTAACTCTATAAGAATAAGATGTAGTATGCATGGTTTCTGACATTTATTTGGCATAGAACCTCTTTTCTGTGTAACATGGCAGAGCCTCTGCTCTTTGGGATACCTTTTGGATAGAGGACGTACCAGATATTAAACTGATAAGAACAGATACTACATTTGATCTTAGCCAAAAGGCTGAGAAGCGATGGGATACCTTTTGGGATTTGATGCCCAGTCTGATGGTTTTTACAGTCAAAGGGATATTTATATAATGATAATGAACACTAGCACAGACTAAATAAGAGCCATACATTTTAAAAACATTGCAAATGAGCTGGAGAACAGTACTTTACTTTCACAAAGATGATCCCCACCCCAAATTTACAGCATTCCCACTGGAGTTGGGGACCCCTTAAACGTGGAGTTGTCATTCTTCTCCGGAACCTCGGTACCAATACACAATCACTGTTTCCACTGGGAATGGTTAAGTTTACAGGACGTGGATGACCAGCAGGCATTTTGTTTTCTCTACGTAGGGAAAGCTGATCTAATAGGAAGAGGAGGATGAAGAGGAGAAAAAAGAGGCAGAGGAGAATGCTAATGACACTGTTTTGGTTCCTGGGTTTGGCTGTACCTGAAGCAAATATACCCCAGGTTTTAATTTATGTGAATTTATTAGTTTTCTTTTATACTTAAGCTACTTTGGAGCTTTTCCCACTAACAACTTAAAATATCCTTACATATCAGAATTGCAGTCAACAGATTCCAGATTATGGAATGGGTTAGGCAGAGGCAAGACACAGCAGTGTCAGGGGTTTCCCGTGCATGACTGATGTGAGTGTGGCGGACTGAGAGCTGACAACCCAGTTCTACTCCATTTTATTGCTATCATGACCCAAGTTATTCTTCCAGGTGGCCAAGTGTCCAGCTAAAAAATGCATTTCCCAGACTCTTTGGCTGATTGGGGATGGCAATGTGCTGTAGTTTTGGACAATGACATAAAATTGTTTATAGTCTTAGCATAGCACACTTGCAGGAAAGTTCTTAGATGACACCTGGCATGTGCCTCTTACCTTATCCTTCCCCCTTTCTCTTGTCTGTGCCACTGTTGTGGTGTGTGAGGCTATTCAGACGGAGCCCACACTCCAAGTATATGGTGAAGCAGAGATAGAAAAGGCTTTGCCCGCTGCCATGGAGTGACTGCTGCACCAGCTGGGGACTGTCCATAACCTGGTCTCTTAGTGTGTGGAAACAAACAAACAAAAACCCCAAAACAAACAAATATAAAAAACTTCCATTTGGTTTAAACCACCATAAGTTTAATTTCTATTATTTGTAGTTGAACCTGCTTCAGAAATGATACAGTAAGGCAGCTGATTAAACTGTTATCAGTGTGTCTCAGGCCTCCGTCTGAAGCCTACCAAAGGTTGAGCAATAGAGGTAGACCATATACACGAAGTTGGGGTTTTGGGGGATGCTGAGGACTTCTCGCAATCTTTAGTAAGTCCTCTAAGAAAGAGATGAGCTTCTGTCCATGCTGATCCTCCTAGACACTCTGACCAGAAGAAGAATATTGTATGCCTTATGGATGAAATCTAGTGATGCAATCAGCACAGTGCCAGCCACCACAAAAATTAGTTGGTGATCACTGAAGACAAACTTGGATGAATTCAGGAATTTAACTGCCTCAAACTTGGGCCTGCAAATGGGGTGTTTTGATATGTTAGGCTGATTGAATAGCTTTATCACAATATTGATCCATTATATGTGATGCTTGTTATTGAGTCTATTTTATACAATTTAAAAACTATTTCTTTTTTTGTCCTTTTTCATTATGTATGATTATTTTAAAAATTCTGTTCATAATGTAGTGGTAAAAACATTGACTCTGAAGGAAATCTTCTTGAATTTGAATCTCAGTTTTGCTGCTTAGTTATTTGACAGAAAATTACCAAACCTCTCTGCACCTTAGTTTCCTCATTTGTAAAATGAGAATAATAATAGTACCTACCTTAAGAGTTGTTATGAGGATTA